CAAGGGGAAGAAGTGACTGCACAAAGGTGTGGGGTAGACTGGATTGCATTCTGGAAGGGAATCAAGGAAAAAGTTGTTTTTCCAAGTATGTGCCTGTTCTGTCCATATCCGGATTATCTAAACTTGCAAAAGACAGGAACTTCTCCAAGTCATTCAGATTTGCCCCCCCACCCCGTCCCCCCCATAGGGGCCACATTGACATTCTGGAGACCTGCCGAGAGAAAAGGGGGAAACAAGGCATCAAAATTGTACTTTCTGGAAAAGAAAGCAAACACTGTACAAAAATGAACAATGATGTGTATATATATATATATTATATATGCATGTATAAATTATATATATTAAAATGTACTTTCTGGAACAGTTTAGAGCAATTTTCACAAATTTCCTATGCACTGGCAACACCACATTGATAAAGAGATGGGAATCACAGAACTGGCGAAACAATGCAGGATGCTGCCACGGAGCAAGATCCTAGGCTTTTTACTCATAGAATGATCAGAGAGCATCAGTTGTGCAGGGCAGGAGGACAAAGAGAAGGGAGGGTGAAGCTAGAAACTGTGCTCTGTTACCTAGGGCTTCAGGGGTCGTGAGTCTGCTCCCAGGCATTCTTTTAAGATTTATTCAGAATTGGGGTGCATGGAATGAGAGGATTCTCCGGAGACAGAGTGGGGAGCAGAACAGACAGATGGACTGAGATACACTGCTGAGGGGAGCAGCAGGTGAGACAGAGCTGTCTACCGCACCCTGTAGGTCTTCTGCCTGGCCGGGGATCGAACTTGAGCTACAGAGGCTGCCAATAGTTTCATAGTGATGAAACCTAACGCCTTTGCCACCAAGGAGGCCCTTTTGGTATTATTTTTACAACTACACTAAATACTAGTGTTTGTTGACTCTCCAAATCCCACAGAGCACCTACAATGTAAGCAGCGATTGTAGCTCTGTGTATATCTTACACATTAAATCGAGTTAGGAAAAGCTTTCACTTATCACTCCCACCAATCCCATTGACTTTATATCAACAACTGTTCTGTGGGCTGCATGCAAAAGACTTTTCAGGGCCCTCCCTGTGGCGCAATGGGTTAAGACGCAGCACTGCAAAGAGCACAGCCACTTCAGTGCAGTTTCAATCCCCAGCTGGTGGCTGACCCACATGGCTCGGCAGACCTCTCCGGTCTCCCCGGCTGTTCCAGCTCAGCAGTGTACTTCATCAGTCAGCCTACTCTGCTCCCCACTCTGTCTCTGGTGAATCCTTTCACGCCCCTGCACATCTGGCTTGTACCCAGTTCTGTATGCACAAGTAAATCCTTTTTAAAAATAATATAATAGTTTATTTTTACATCATTTTGTGCCTTTTTCCATCTCACTTGTCACCCCGTGGGCTTCTCATCACCAAATCACTCCTGTGTTATCACCACAGTCCAGTGCATTTCCCACAGCCCCATTTTTTTTATCCCATTCCCCACTCTACCCCATAAATTGTCTCTAGTATATAATTGTTCATTATTGTTATTATTTTCTTGCCTGGTCGTTATACTCCTGCTATGAGTGAAACCATCCGGTAGCATAAATAAATCTTGATCAATCAATCAATCAAATACAAAAGGGTTCTCATCGCCTATAAATATATTCATTTGGCCGGCTTTTCGGAAACATCATCCCATACCACAGTCTCTCTTAGTAATTCTGAAGCAATAAGATTTTCCCACAAGTCCGTGCAAAGCACTTTCTGGATCCTCAATTTGGAGGCGCCTAACTCTGGGGACCTCCCTCCACAAGGCACGCTCCTGGCCCTCTACTCCGCAGCCTCAGCCTGTCCTTTGGGAAGTTGGCTCATTCACTCCGGGCTCCCAGCCCCTTTGGGTCCGCACCAGAGCGCACTCTCAGCAGCTTTGGGTCATTTCGCCCTCAGCAAGCGACGTGGTGGGCGCCCACAGGTGTCCTGGGCGCTCGCCTGGAGCCTACTGCGGTGGGAAAGCCCGCGCCATTCCCCCCTTCCTGCCTGCGCCCCGCACCCCCACCCCAGCGGGTCTGCGCCCGGCCTGCCCCGGGTCCCCCACCCCCACCTTCTTGTGCCCCGCCTCCTGTAGCTGAACTGTATGGAGGCGGGGGAGGGGGGTGCTCTTGGGTCCCAGCGACTGGGGAATCATCACCACACCCCCACTGAAGACTGGCTCGGATTTATTGCAACACACGCTCCTGACCGCAGGAGGGGGGTTCAGGGAGGACCTCAGGGTTAGGGTGCGGGGTTCATTTTATAGGGCTTCTGGGGGACTCCCCGCCCCTCTCAAAAGCTCCTGGGGGCTTTTTCCTTGTTTCCACTCCCCCTTCCCCCTCCACTGCCCCGCTTTGTCGCCTTCCTCCTCCTTCGCACCTAGAGGGGAGAGGCGAGCACCAGCCCTTCCCTCTGCGCCTCTCCTGTCCGCCCGCTCTGTGGCTGTCGTCAGCCTGTGTCCACAGGTCCCCGCCCAGCTCCTCGCTCCTTCGCTCCCGCCTCTCCGCGCTCTCGGGGCGGGAGCTCCCGCCCCCTGGGGGCCGTCGCGGGCGCACTTTCCCGCCTTATCGCAGCGCATAGTCGCAACCGGGGCGTAGCCTCGCTGCCCAGCGGCCGCCCGGGCCGTCGGTTCTCTCGGGCGGCCAGTGTGACCTTCTAGCGGCAGTGACCGCCCGCGACGCGCCACTTCGCTCCCTCGCTCGTTCGCTCCCGCCGCCCCGCGCACTCAGCCCTGGAGCTGTCGCGTCGTCGCGCTGCAGCGACAGGGCGCCCACTTCCCGCCCTCGCCTTCCCGCGTTATCGCCACGCACAGTCGCAACCAATGCGATATTCGTGAGTCACTGTCCGGGGCGGGCACCCAGCCGCAGCCTCGCTGCCCATCGGCCGCACCGACCGTCTGTTTTCTCGGGCGGCCAGTGAGAAATTCTGGCGACAGTATAAAGGCTGAATGACAGCCCGCGACGCGCCATTTCCTATCCGCTGATCTCGGGGGGGCCCAGTACCACGGTCACCGGCACTCCTGGGGCAGATTCTCGGCTTCTGTGAGTGGACCTGCTGGCCTCGGGGCGGAGTGGAGTTCTTAGAGGTGGTGGACAGAGACTGGGCAGAAGACGCTCAGCCCAGAGCCCAGGGGCCTGCGGGGAGGGCAGCGTCCGGCAGCTCCACCCCAGCCTTCCGCAGCTCCACCGCTCCCGCTCATCCCGGTTAGAGTTTACGCCTGGAAGGTCAGTTTGGACGCGGTAGCTGGTCCCGCAAAATGTGCGCTTCTGGGCGGGGGAGGAGCCTGAGTTAAAAGCGCAGATTCCATTACTGTGCCTGAAATTCACCTGGT